TGATTTTTAAAATAAATAGTTAAAAAACATGCGATAAAACAATCTGAACTTAAATATGTAAATATGCTGAAAAATATTTATCCTTAAAATATACTTTAAATAATACAGCAAAATAAAAAGTTGTAATTACCATCTTTAAACTCATAAGCTTATTATGGTCAAGCAGTACACACCCTTCTGACAAACTTAAATCTTATTGAGCTACCCTCTAAGTTTAGTGAAATTTCCTACTTTACTACTAATATTCACTTTTGACAAAATCATGAAGCAAGTAGCTAACTCGAGTTGTACCATATATCACTCACTATACGATCTGAACATGAAATTTTTTCTATGTAGATTTTCTTACACTTGGCTTTGGTTTTATAAGCCTGCCTTGTCTTTGAGGTAAATTTTTTCTGTTTTGGGTTTGCTTGTCTCAGTGAGTTTTCTCTGTGTTCACCTGGTTTTTTATTCAACTTAACTAAGCCAACCAGTTGCTCTGGCATGATGTTTGAGTTATAGTTCTAACTACAACATATGATAAAATTGAAGACATCCATGTGTCTTGTTTCCTGAGACTCCTAGTAGTTAAACAAATTTAATGTAATTAATGCTACCTTTACCAGCCAACTAATAAATGAATACAATGCAATGGGCTAAGACACTTTGAAGTACCTAAGCATAAAAGATACAAATTCAATTATTTTCTGCATCATCTTCTCTTAGAATTCTATGTAATCTCTGAGAGGAGATACAAAACGGGGGGGTACATTTCTCAACATTCCTCAACACTAGAGTGTTAAGAAAGAACATTTGGAAACAATGACAATAAACACTGTGTAGACATGAAAAAATGTGAAAAATAATTTCACAGAACAAGAGCAATGAACAAATCTGCAAAAGTATTATGAAAATTCACTGAAAAAACAGGCATATAAGTTAACCTAGAAATTCTCAGTCTCAAGAAATTATTATCAATGTTAGGAAAATTAAAATAGTATTTTTGAAAAATAGTGTCCCTTCTTACTTTTGTAAATAGTGATATCATTCTAAAAAAATATAACTATATATAAATCTAATTGTAAAATTTTAAGTACCTTAAATGATAAGAAGATTTTGAAATTGTGTAACTTTATAAATGGTCAACTTCTTATATTAAGCTAAATGCTTTTTACTCGTCTGTCAAAAGAGTATTCTGTCTAAAAGGTAGAATGTTTACTTAGGTGTTTTCATGCTAATCACTAAGATATGAGGGTCATGTACAAACAAATTTACAAATAGTAAATTTTCAAGTTAACTAGGTAGTTAACTTCACTAAAGAAATGAAATTGAAAGAGCCAATAAATCGAAGGTTATTGTGACTGCTTCAAAGAGATACTTAAAATGAGAAAAATATATAAATTACCAAATCATAAATTAACAAAAATTATTTACAAAAGTAAAAAATAATAAGTGCAAAGTCAAGGGTCTGATTTAGTTGTCCACTGAACTGTTTCTATCCCTACATTTTTGCAAGTGTTCAGTTCTTCTGATTCACATTGCTTTAAACACCATCTTGTGGACAAAAGGAGGTATATCACAGGTTCTCAACAGGTAAGAAAGACCGCAGAAAAGCTAAATATGTTTAACTTCTAAAACATATTCATAAAAAATTATTTTATAATCCAAACATTAAATGATGACTTTTATAGATAATATATCTTTAGATAATTACTTAAGCTATATAACATAAGTAACTAAAAATTTAAAATTTCAACAATTTCATAAAATATAGAAATAAGTATATGGGATTAAAGTCATTAACTAAATTACGTTGATCACAAGGTAAAAAAATTTCAAAGGTTAAGACTAGTTGTGTCTGTTATGCTTAGGAAAAAATGGTTAATGTCTTCGGTAGGAAAGAACAATGAACAGACTCATGAATAATTCCTTTTTTCTTTAGATTCCAAAGACCGTAAATATTAATTGAAGTCCTATCTTATTCTTTTCACAGATATATTTCTACCTGGAAGTGTTAAGTGATGTTGGTATAAAGTGTTTGACTGGAATTAAAACATACGTAGTGCAAACACTTTGGTAATTATTGTCATCATGACCTATAATTAATTCATATTTAAATACTTATGTTGTCTGGAGTCCAAACAGAATTCAGATAATTTGACAATTCTTCTTCCCTGCTGTGGACATTACTGACATCTACGTGAAAGTAAACAGACATTTTGGAATGAAATAAAATGACTCAAGAGTTGGCAACTGCCAAGTTACTTAGGGAAGAATTTCCCACCCTAATTTGGGATTTTAATTATCTACTTTCTTTTTATTAAAAAAATTAGGCAAATGCCAAATCTCTACTTTATTTGGTGTTTACACTGGCTGGATCCAGCCTTTCTTGCTATTCTGTGTTGTGTAGCACATATATAGAGATGAGGCAGGAACAAGTGTTGGAAGGTAAATAAATAATACAGAAGGGTGAGAGAGGATCATTCCATGGGGACACAGCCCCACTTCTCCAGTTAAGCCAAAGGCATATTTAGTCATATGTGTCAGTTATTAAAAAATGAGCTTGAATCGTTGTAATAGCTCTACTTTGTAATACATTTCATATGCCATTATATTCTTCCTCCCACTTAAATCACCTGAATAAATCCAAATTCTTTAAACAGGAATAAAACAGCCTAACATTAATGGAATTTAGGAAAAGAAAAATTCCTAAATATTCAATTTGTAAAAAAGGATGCATGGCACATTCTGTGGAATTAAAATGAACAGAAGTCATAAAACAAGAAAACAAATTGAGTCTTTTGATGTATATGAAAGAATTAACTCAAAGAAAACAAAGAAAAATACTTTGATCATTCAGCAAAAAAGTTCATGAAAACATTAAAATGATAAAATAAATACTGCTGGATTAGCAAAGAGGAATAAGGATAAACCACCTATTAATATGAAAAAAATAATCTTTGAAAACATAAAATGTTTATAGCCTTATGACAAATTCAAGTAAATTAATAAGTGGCAGATGAGTTGAAAGCTTTCAGAAAATTCAACATATTAAAGTTCAACAAATTAAAAGCTCAATATATACACATAGCACCAAGTTTAAATCTCTGTACATTTTTGGGGATTAAATGATCATTTTAATAAAAAATGCATATCTATATTCCAAATTGTATAAGTTTAAAACACAGCACCATTGTAGGTATTGCACAGGAAAGAAAATGAAGAAGAAAATCAATTTAAAGTTAAAAACACTTGAAATAAATAAAATGACCTTGAAAAATAAAATAAATAAACTTGGAATTGAAATATACAGCATAATTCAATAAGAAATAGCCAAAAGGTTGTACATATGCACAGCCATGTAGACAGTACCTGACCAGCAGTTTATTCATCTATAATGAAAACCAGTTCAACTCACGGGTGCATTTGAACAACGCCTGTCTTAATTTAGGCATGCTCCCTACACAACTCTGTTCACAGCTTTTTCCAATTCCAGTGGGCTTGCCTTTCTAAACTCATTTTTCAATTAACAGATAAAAGCAATCATCCTAGCTTGCTTTAGCCAAATTGAAATCTGCACTGTTCCTTGAAGAGGTGTAACTTGATTTCTGTGACAGGAGGGCTGTGGGTGGCAAGCTCTCATCTGGGGGATCCACTACTTAGATTTCAGCAACATCCTCATGGTCAATGTTCCAGAAAATCAGTTATTTTGAACCCACAGTTTCTCAAAAGAATCTATAGCTAGGCAATAAAAATACCGTTTGGTGATCTGGTTGGTGATCACTGTGTTTTCATTCCCTGTTGGAGGACGTGGTCTTTTGCAGCACCTGTTGTATCCCCTGCCCTGAGTGTTAACTCTTTGGTCTGAGTGCTAGTTGTGTGTTCGGTTCCATGGCTTTCCTTTGCTGCCCTGTACCTCTTGCTGCAGCTTCCAGAGAAACATGATTCTCCATAAGAGCTTTTGGGCTTCACTTCATCCACATGCATCTGCCAACACCGCGCATTCATCTTCTAGAGATGGGAGATTCTTTTCTAGTCACTACAAATCCCGTCCTTTGTTCTGATGGCTGCTTCTTGTTTTAAAGTCTGAGAGTGATGAGGTCAGAAGGAAAATGGATACAGGGGCCCAAAGACCTTACTAGACTATTTAAGCTTCAAAAGTACCAAAGACAGCTTGGTGCCTTCACCTCCAACCACCTCTTAGGGAAAATAACTTTCTGTTTCCCAAGTAAGAAACTTGGTGAAGGGACCACAGTGTTAGGCTTTTCTTGTGAAACATATAAAGTTGATTTTGTTCCTTCCTTTTCATGCAGTAAATATTCATGCCGGTGGTGACTGCTTTGAATTGAGTTCATTATATAGTATTAACAAAATCATTTCAGTAGTTGGCTATGATGGGTTTTTGAGCTCTCTGATAAAACAGCCTCCTGTTTTTTTCCAAAATATAAGTCATAAAGCAAAACTCTTATTGCCTATCTATTTTTTCTGCATAAGTAGGATGGATGTAGGATGGTATGAATTCTTCAGCTATGAAAAGTAGTCAAAAAACATTCAGCAGAAGCAATGCACTATATCAAAAAAGTTGATGAAATTTTTATCAATGATAGTTAATTTAAATGCCAAGAAAATTTCAAGGTAAGTCTGAAACTTTACAATTTAGAAATCAAAGGCCAAATACAAGTTGATGAAACTACAAAATGTACATTATCATTAGTTTACTAATTCGCAAGATGTAATTTTCTTTGGAAGAAGAACTAATGATAAGGTTTGTTTACATATTTCATAGAAAACCCTGAATAAAAATCAGTAACGGTGAAGCAAAACATATGGAATGAATTTGGGAAAATGTCTAAAAGTGCTGATACTGCAATTACTGTAGGAATAGGATTCAAATTGTTGCTGTTAATGTCTGCTTACACCGAAAAAGAAAAAAGCCACTCACATGAGAGTTTGACAATATTAAGAAAGCTTCAACAGCAAGGAGATATCACCAAAAATCAAGTCTTCCTCAGGTGTGTTTATTTCCCACCTGTCCGCTGTCGGGCATGAGACACAGGATAGAGGCAATCTTCTGGGTTACATCTTCCACTAGGTCCTGGGGGACCCTGGGGACCTGGGGCACCTGGTGAGCCTGGCAAACCCGGAGCTAATAAAATAAAAGACCCCATCAGAATGCAGATCACATATGGCTCTTTCTCCCTTACTCTAACCAACATGGATTACTCAACACCTCCTGTAGCGACACATAAAGGCCATAGAAGAGAAGGCATGGTTCCTGTTTTCAGAAGCTTGCTTGTATGGTGAAGATAAATATCACTATTACCTGATGTCCCAGGAAGACCCGGACTCCCTGGAAGCCCAATTCCAGGTTCTCCTCTTTCTCCCTTCTGTCCTCGGTAGCCTAAAGAAGAGACATATAAAAAGTAAAAGTGTTCTATGGCAACAAAGCACAGGGAAGAATCATTTTTTAGTCTATGATATTTGTGTAATGTGTTTAACATAAATAGTATATTAACTATCTGTTTCGCATCAACCACATTAAACTGATATATCAAATAGATTAGATACAATAGGCAACGAGGATCTTAGAAATATGCAAGTACTATAAAAAGTTGCAGCTAGTCAAACTCATGACAGTGAGATTCTTAGCACTGAAAATGATACCTAAATAACTCAAATGAATCAATCATACCTTCTTCCATATTGCTACAATAAGGTATGTGAGTCCTCAACAAGAATTCTGAGTGAGGAGTGGGTACAGGCTAATTGTAAGTACACTGAAAGAGTTCTGCTTACTACATGGACATGATAATATGATAACAAGAAGCTGGATCTTAGTCCAAGAGTTAAAGAGAGTGTAAGGGACAAAGCTCTAATTTAAATAAAAAAACATACATGAATCCACTCATCTCAGGAGTTGGAGAGGACAAAATCAAGTGTTTGTTAAAATCACTGTCTATAACAACATTATATTCTTTCTAAGTAAAGTTAAAACAACAACTCATGTTTTAACATGGTAGTTTGTAACTCTGAAGGATGAGGCATTTCAACAATTCTAGAAAGCAAGAGGAGACTGAAAGACCCTTCTAAACTCACTTCATCAATTTAAGATGCTGTAACCAAAATAAATTATGTCTAAGATCTCTGCACATTTTAAGATAAAATCATTCTTATTCCTGGATATGCTTGTTGTCATCTGAGGTAGGAAGATGACAATCTGTGCCTCTGGGAGCCCTTATCCCACCTTTTAGAAAGCATAAAACAATTTTTATCTGTTTTATATACTTGTATCCACGTAAGACTGTTTAAAGGAAATATCTTTGGCTTTAAGAGTTTCACAGTGATGGTAAATAGAGTTTTAATTTTTGACTTTTTCTTATTAAGCAGCTTAAAGATGGCTCCTAGTCCCGAATGAACAGAGCAGTCATGCAGAATCATGTGGACACACAGCAAGGATAGTAGGTAGGAGAGTATCTCAGTAGGAAATAATAGACCCTACCCTAGTCATGCCTTTCTATAAATGTGTTCTACTACAGCTGAACATGATAGAAGGCAGGATTTTAATGTAGGATGTAAGAGAAATTATTTCCCATTATTGTTGAGAATTAGACATCAGTTTTGTGGTTACCATTCTCAGTCTTGACTTGACCATACAGTGCACAACTGATTATCCAAATAATATTAGAATGTAATCACCATACCATTATTTCTTTGCTTTGGAGGTGTGACCTGACTATAAAAGTGAAAACAGTGGAAAATAGGATATACATTCAGGACAAATTTTGAGGTACATAATGGAAATATATCCAATGGGAAATTTTCACACATTTATGTCTGAAAACTATGTTACAGATTCTCAGTACAATCCTAGATCTTAGAGGGAACAATAGCTTGAACATTTGGCACAATATCCTATATTGATGTATATTCGACTTTAAATATTAGCAGGATTTCTTTTACATACATAACTTTCATTTAACATATGTAAACAATGAGGAAAAATATTTGTACTTAGGGTCATTTTGAAAGCACCATTCCAAATCTATTATTTAAACATTTCTACAGTAAAATAACACTTACTACCTGAGGTATATTTGATAGTAGAACCTAGATTTTACTATCACAGAAAGACTGTAAAATTGATCCTCAAGCTATCCCAGCAAGTGCTTAAGATCATAGGCTTAAAAAAATGAGGAATAAATAAAAATAACTAAAGATATATGAACTTTCTGTTAACAAGAGGGTTAATAAGACTATAACACAATTCCAAATGAAGACCATATCTGCTAAATCCTACATATTTAAATTCAGTTCTCACATTTTAACGTAATGCAAAAATACATTATTCCACATGGATTGAAGTGCAAAACAAGGAACAATAATTTGTATATTTGTATAGTGGGATAAAATTCACACTTCTCCTGTGGAATGTAATAATTTATTTGCACAAATCTCTCAGTTCATTAGGTTAATAACAACCTCCTATTACTAATAGATAAAGTTGTTGAATTGCACAAACCCATAAGAGCTTTCTACTCTCAAATTTCCTAAGAGGGTCCCAAACTCATTCTTTATGAAGGCTGTCATAAAGCCACAGGGTCTGATTTTATAATTGCTCCATGACAAAAACTTCAGATAGGAATGCTGATAAAGTCAGTAACAGCTTTGCTACTTCCTAGAATTATGCCTCACTGGAAACTTGGAAGAGATTGAAAGGCTGGTCTATCTGCAAGTGGACATGGATCTTCATGGCTTATAAATATGCAGGGTGACTGTTTGACATCACTGTAGCTTATGTAGAAAAAGAGAAATCAAACAAAAGCAGTGTCCTAATCTGAAGCATCTAGTAAGTCATTGAAGAAATTTGGTGCTTGCTGTAGTTTTTCAGGTAGTAGACTGTACTTATTTCTAATACAGAGATTTCCATTTCAACTCTAGGGATTTACTTCCAGCGTTGCACATCTGTGCATCCATAAGCATACTGGACAAATGAGACCAGTAAAGGAGTGTTACTGGTATTTTCGGAGAAACAATTCTACACGTGGATGCCTGCTGCTAGCCTCACGAGTTGTTTGGGCTTCCTGCTCGACTACTTTTCAGCCACAGCCTCCTTCACTCATTTTCAAACACACACACACACACACACACACACACACCCCTACCTCCCATTTCCTAAGGCCCCTACTGCTAATAAAGTTGAAAGGTCAAATCTCTATCAGTCACATGAACTACCTTATGAGCTACTGGTTTACAAATAACTGGGTTCCTTTATTATAAATCAATAACAACTAAACTTAAAAAGTTCAAAAATAGTATCCCGATAGTATCCTTTCAAAATTGATGAGGGCACACGAAATGTCTGGAAATGTCTGGAAACATGAAATGTTTTCTCCTATCTCCACATCTACTCAGTGTGTAGGGTTCTTTCTGAAAGGACAGGGCTTTCAAGTGTGGCATCTGTTCTTTAAGATTTTCACAGAGGTGGAGAACCAATTGTTTGCGAAAAGTTTAAATAAAGTTCTTTCTCATAAAACTCACCCAAGAGGCAAAGTCTTATTAGGAAAATTTGCCTCTCTTGCTTATATATGAGAATCCAGCTGGATCATGCTTCTTGGGGCTTCTTTAATCCTAATGTGGCACATTCTTGCTCATCTCCAGCAGCGCGAGCAATCAGGCCCTATACTATAGACCCGAGGTAGGAACTCATACCAAAGGAAATTCTCAGTGCACAGTGGGAAGGCAATAATCAGAAATTCATGGGATGGTTAAAATATAAAGCTGTCTGGAAATGCTTTTGAATTTAAAAAAGATGCCAACGATCACCTCCTTTGAGAATTTAGAAAAAAACACAAATGTGGTGACCAAACTCATTGGCCTTTATTTTCACTGCAAGATCAGGGTGCAAGAAAGAGGGTTCCACCAGTTTTCATGATCAGAATCTTGACAGGAGCAGTTGCTCTCTTTTTTAACTTGGATCGTGTGCTTCTAATAGTCTCACATCGATTTTCTCCTTGCTCTCTCTGTTTCCTGCTTCTCAGAATTAGCACAGGAAATTTATGAGACCCCTTAAAATGCTGTTCTTCCCTCAAGACAGTAAGATAATAAAGGACTCATTCTGTAGTGCAATGTCAAACCAAACCACTTTATTTCAAATGAAAATGAATTTCTTTCCTGAAAAACACTTAAAAATTCTTAGAAATTTCAGAGGAGCCACCAACAAACAAAATTTGTGAGTAGGCAGAACACACTGCTGCTCGGTGCCTACATTTTGTTTCCCTTTCTGTGCTGCATTTCTCACTTCAACTTTTTCGCAAACTCAGCAATGAAGAGGACTCATTCAGCCAATAACATCTGAGGTTTCTCGGTCACTATGGCAACAGTTTTATATGTATTTTTTTCTTTCCCTTTCGAGAAAACTTTTAAATCAAGTGGAGCAGAGCTTCTGAGCACTTTGTATCTATTTATCTATGAGAGAAAAACCCTTCAGTTCCTTGTGAACTCCTGGAGAGGCACCAAAAACCAAACTGTGGCCCTTTGTTTTCCTTTTTACAGTCAAATTTCTCTGTGGCTTTAGAGAGGATTATCAGTATAGTGTGACGGCAGGCAAATATTCCTTTAAAATGAATCCCATATTTTGCAAGTTTTATTTTTCTGTTGCATTTCTGGCATTCAGCAAATACTGGAAAGGAGATATCACATAAACGTAGAGGAGCCATCTAACTGAGTGACAGTCAAGACATGTCTGCTGTCAAAACCACTCTGGTGAGACCAAAGTTTTGTCAAGTTTAATGACCCTTGGTTTTAAAAAAGTTGAAAATCATTTTGGGGAAGTCTTTCAAGTTCAAGAATTGCATCCAAAATCCCTATCAGCAGTAGAAGTAGTCTGTAAGATCTCGGCAAAACAATGGAATTGCGGACTTAGCATTGTCTCTGACTGAGAGCCCACCAGAAAGGTCTTCCCTAC